TGATCTCCCGATAATCGATCGATTTATCTATTGCTAGTTACACGTGCAGACACATCTAGTTAAAAGTCCCTTTTGCAACTAGTAATCTAGATGGCAACTAGTCGTGTATCGCCCGATTACAGACGAACTGTATCTAGATTTTTCCCATAGGCAATGTTTGTTTGGAAAGTCAGATTCTGCAATGTTACTAATTCGCGTTTTTTCAAAAAGTTTCATTGAACATTTCCAACCTAGACTCCCTTCAGCAAACATAGCCTGTTTCTTTAAAAACTTTTAATTCAAGAAACATTTGTTTAAATATGTCATTCCATGCAGTTTTTCATGTAGCTAAAAGCTTAGTGCTTTTCTTCATGAAGAAAATTGGTTGGTACTGGAATTCTTAAAAAAACTGATTATAGCTCGTTTTGCATGCCGATTACTTCCACATTTTTCTATGTGCAACAGAGGATGCTGACGAAACTAAACACGCTAACATATATTGGACAATGTTGCCTCTCATTCTTTTTGTAAGGCAGTTTGCATAAATTGATCTCGTTTTTACAGTTTCGGAAACAGTATTCTGTTTCCTCTTATTCTTTAGGTTAAACGAAGTTTATTTTTACACTGTCAGTTTTCCGGCTATAATGTACTTAATTTATTTTTTAGAAATGCTGATAAACTTAAAGACCCTCGATTTAACGTCACTCGTGCTTTACACCCGTAAAAATAAAAATAAACTACAAATGCACCTACTGACACTTAACTTACAGTATAAAATCCACGCAAAATCCTACAGAGTCAAATTAAATGAATCCAAAGTTTGAAGTGCATAAAACTGAATATGTCCTGAATATTTTGTGTTATTTAGTTGGACTTTGGGTAAATTTTCAATTTCTGAATCAGAGGTGGGTAAGTCCAAGTCTGAACTTGAAGCTTTTTTTGACGGATTTGGACTTGACTTAAACTTGAGAATTTTTATATTAAGTCCATTTGAAGTCCAAGAAGTTAAAATCTGTTACATTCAACAACGGCATGAGTATAATCTAATACCTAATTTATTAATCTTTTTCTTGCTAAACATGTATCAATGTATGGATAAAATTTATGTACCCGTGATACATGATTATAACGTACTGTACAGTGCAAAAACTGCCATGAACAACTTCGACTCGAACTCGGACTTGATTGCGACTTAATCTTCGGAGCTGAAAAATTTTTTTTTAAAACTTGGGCTAGGGCTTGAGTTTTATGTACCTCCAGTCTGATCGATTCCAGTTTTAACGTAAGTAAACAATATACAAAAACTGAACATCAACATAAGATTCGAAAAGTTTGTGACTACTGGCAGAGTTGTGCTACTCTCATTCAACAATATGCAACAACGTAGGTGATGAATACAGAAATACCATACCCACAGTCATTGTGGTAATCAATGTAGTATATGTTGAGCATATTGGTGAATTGTTGGTTGCTGTGGCGACGTACTTTTCAGAAATATATCAGGCACCTAGATCAACGAAAACGGTATAGTTTACTGGCGGTTAGTGCTCCGTCCCCGCGTTAACGGACTATTTTTACTTCTTTCTCATCAATTTGCGCTATTTATTTGCCCGTTTTCTACGGTAGGAAAACAGTCCGTTTATGATGTCATTTTTGGGTTACCAGACGCTTAGGCGCGCGATATTTTGGCGCATGTACGACACAACCATTCAGTAAGAGTGCATTTGTTAAAGTATGGTGCATAACGATAAAATTATCTTTAAATAAACCTGGTACGGTATGAGCGCTTTTCTATATTACCCATATCCAACTGTAATCACTGTTTGTTTAATCATCATCGATATTCACTCTCATCTATATCCGCATCCGCGCCTTTGAATCTCCAATGTCGTAGCGCTAAAATGTCGTATAATACATAGTGCGCCCAAATGTTGTTGCGCCCTAGTGTCGCGCGCCCAAGAGTCGGTATACCTTGTTTTTGAGATGTTTTCAGGAATTTAATTTGTTTTTTTGAATTTTTACGTTAAAAGTCTTTAGTTTTTCGATTTTTTGAGGCTTCGATACTATCACAAGTACTTGTCCATGAGTGCTAAGGATATCTTTTTTGAGCGAAGTATCGAGTACTTCAAAATGCGAGAAAGGAAAAATTTTCTGAATTATTTCAAAAATGTCAGGGCTTATTAAGCACTAACCTAGTGAATGTATTTTAGCCAAGTATTTGCGCAAGTACTTGGATTAAGTAATGAGGACTGTACTTGTGGACTTTTTCAAGTAAATTTACTTGTCAAGTACTTGAGAAAGTGATTGACAAGTAAAATGTAAGTACTTGGCTAACATAATGCAAGTAAATTTACTTGACAAAGTTCGGTCAACTACTTGCTCCATTTATTTTTATTTTGTATTTTATATACATTCTAGGGTTATACTCTATTTTTGCAGAGCAACTACATGACTACTAAGTTTGTTCAACTCAGTAGAATTATATATAAGTTGATTTTATAAGTGTATAACGATTGATATTGTGGTGTTTATATACAATTGGTCAATGCAAAAGAAAAGTTTTATTATCTCCCACGGCTGAGAATCCTGAAATGTGACCTTGTAAGATCATTTGACAAGATACCACAAGATATTATATAATCTTGTTACTTCTTATGAGATTATATTGTGAGATCTTATGATAAGAAGTTACAAGATTTTTTGCAGGATACTATACGATCTTGTAAGATGAATTTCACCTGGACTATAAAAGATGATGCAGTAAACATTAAGTGAATTCTATTCTGAAATGTCCATTCCGTGATAATAAAGAATAGTAATGAACATATTTCTATTTATCAGTCAGATTTGCGGTTCCGATATCCGAAACTTATCATCAGCCATTAGAAGATTCAAGTTACATAATAGGACAACACTGAATGTCCGCGGTAGTATAGTGGTTAGTATCCCCGCCTGTCACGCGGGAAACCGGGGTTCGATTCCCCGCCGCGGAGTATTTTTTTGTTTTGTCTGTATCCCATGTCCTGCAGAAAGTTTATATCTGCACAAGATCTGTCAAGTTTCTTGATCTCAAAGAATGTTCAACAATTCTTGTCAAGTTTTTTTGAGAAATCTGCCTGCAAAAATCTTGATCAAGATCTTGACAAGGTTTGAAAACTTTTCTGTAATTAACAAAATCTTTGCTAACAAAGAAAGTTAGCAATCATTTCCATTACGATTTGACTCAGAGGTTCGACAAAATGTAAATATGCCAACTTTTCATTTATTTATAGTTATTGTAACAATACAACGTAGAGGACTTCTGCTAAAATTCTGTTGGTCGAAAGAGTAGACGAATAAATGTGTTGTTCTTTCAATCACCATTTATTTGACATTGTTCTTGCAAATATAAGAACCTGCACTACAGAACATTGAAAATTTTGAAAGTGAAACTCAGACATTGCGTTTGAATGTGTGGTTGCTCATGCACTTTCAATAGCTCTGGTACTGTATGCATAGTGCCGTAGAGCTTACACTGTAGTGATACAGTAGAAAAAAACAAAAAATATGAAGTAGAAAATAAAGTTTAAGATTTTCTTTCAAATTCCCAAATCTGTTAATGGAGATTCTGATTATTGCGCATTAAATTAATCATTTCATAATTCTTGAAATATCTTGACAAGATCTGCTCAAGATTTATCACGACAGATTCTGATACAAAACTTGTGGAAAATCTGCAACATTGCCTTCCATTCAGAAACTTGACAGATTTTGATAAACCGGCACAAGTTCTTGAAAGATCTGTGACAAAACTTGAGAAATCTTTAAAAATTTATCAATATCTGCATTCAAGATTTTTCTCCTGGGTATGTTTCGTTCAAACACATCATTAAATAATGCTGTGCTAGCTAACTCCACTTTGTCTCAGAATACTCTTGCTCATACTAATACTTTTGTACATAATGACTATATTTCTAATTGAACAATTAACAAGCTATTTAAAAATTTCAAACGGCCAAACAAATACTTGTAACTGCCCAGGTGAAACATAATTGACATTTAATAAGCCATGTAATGCATTTTAAATGTATGCCAGAAAAACTGGCTTTTAACACCCAAATAATTGTTAAAAAACTGCCACGTAACAGTCAGTTTATTGTCTGTTATGTGATTGTTGATAAAGGCTCGAGAAAAGGCATTTAACATACCACACAAAATATTGCAAAAGGCAGTTAACAATGATTGTTCACTGTAAATTTTTTTGCTGTTATAACAGCAAAAAACAGGCATTTAACTGTGCATCCTAAAATGTAAAATAACTGTTACAGTTAAATGGTTGTTAACAGACCATCCTTCAATTGCAAAATATATAGCGAAAAAACTGACATTTAAAATGTCTGTTTCATTCACCCTTTCATTTTGCAATCATGAACGATGATTATTAGACGCTGATTTTTCCTATAACGCCATGTTAATGGAGCAGGTCTACCGAGTTAAGAATCACAAATAAACACTGCTCCGCATATAATGGGTTTTTAGGGATTTTGTTTTTTTTAAGGTTTTTGTGTTCCCCTACGGGGTTAGTAGTGCATTAGTAAATAACAAGCCTGCAAATCGTATTATATACAATTATAATTCAAGTTCGTTTTAAAATAAGAAGAATTTTTCTATATACAAATCATGACCTTTCTCCAATATAGCATCTTCGCTTTTCTATGTACAAATATTTCGTGTCTTAAAATTTCTTCGTCAATTCTCTATCTCTTTGTTCGATATTTTTGCAACCATCAGTTGAATGACATTTTGTAGAACACTTAACATTAACTTTTTTACAACGACAATGTTTCGTTGCACATTGAGATTTGCAATTACACGTCGCACCACTCACTGATCCGCGTACAAATAGTTTACAAGCTTCAATCAATGTTATATTTTCCAATTCAGCAATATCAACAGCTTTCAATTCAGGTGGACAGACATGTTTCAATGAAACCAAACTTTCGACTGTGAATGATGAAACCAGTTTCCCAAGCTGACAAGCTAGTTGAAAAGTAACGTCATCTCCTTTTTTTTCTTTTGAAAATATCAAACATAATAAAAGTTTGGGATCTGTATTAGTTCTGTCAACATCATAAATATTAATATCAACAAAATCGCCTACATTGAATGTTTCAGCTAAATTTCGTAAATGTTCGTCATATAATTTACGTTTTTTAATTGCTGTAGTTAAATAGTTGTCCGTGGTTTGTTTGCGTATTAATTCATGCTGTGGAGATTGAACAGAAAGGTGATAAAGTATTTGATGATGATGGAATGCCAACAATGGATGAAACAGATGATGAACAAGTAAAAGTTTGCGAATCAACAAGTGGTGGTGACTGAGAAACAGCGATTACCGTGATGCAGAAGTTAAAAGTGCATCTAATTCATCAAGAATATTAGCGCAAAAATTAGATTCTAAACCAATCTCACCTGAAGTAGCAATGACAGTAGGCTTATCTAATGTCATTACTGGACTTGGTGGTAGCAGACGCTGAGAAACAACTTTTGTGGGTGACTTAGGCGAATCAAAAGAAATAAGTGGATTGACCGCCCAAATTCGGAATCTGACCGAATTCTAAGTTTGACCACAACATATATATATCACTGAAAGTTGGAAGAAATTTGCAAAGTTTTCTATTACCCATTGTACGAGTCGTCGAAACTTGTCGCGTGGAAGTCACCGCTGATTCTGGATCTGGTGCCATTGATGGCACTGTGGACCTAAGGTATCAAAAATGTCAAAAATTTGGGAAATCACTTTATTTGCGGTACTAATAAAAAAATTAATCAAAGAAAACGTTCGATAACTGACCGTTAACAGTCAGTAGTCGTACAAAAACCGCCATTACATGATGCTAGTGACTGCCTATTTTCGGACAGTTTTCACCCGGTAAAAAAATGTAATATTAAGACATCAAAACGGTCCCATTTATAAGATGTAAAAATAACCATTTAATGACTATTTTATTAGCTGTTAATTGGTATTTAATAGACAATCAATTACACCGTTTTCGACATCCTGGGTGCAACCAAACTATAACTCGTTTAAACGCATTTCGTGGTACCCAATAAATAGCAGATCCATTCCAGTTTAATGAACATGAAAACAAGTTTAAATGCACGAATTTCGCTTACAAAAGCAAAATAAATCATTCTTCATGTAGATTACCTATTTCCCTCTTACAAACTCCGAAACTACAAGTATACTAGTGGGGATAGAGCATGCATAATGGTGAAATTAGTAGGAAAATATGAGACAAAGAAAAAAGTCATAGAAAATCCGCTTTCTCGATTCATCAATGTAAAAACTTTCAGACGCGTTTTGTTTAGCTTCCATGGAGAAATGCTTTTAAACGCGAAAAAAAAAATCATACTTGTACGAGAACAGAAGAAAAACTCGCTTAAACAAATTTCTTTCGAAAACATTACAAACACGTCCAGACCAGTTTGAAAAAGACATCCGTGTGAAATAAAACCCATTTAAACTAGTAACTCCTCTTTTTTTTTCAATCATTGCATTTTCTTGATAGGGTCGTATTCAGATCCTCACAGAATCCTAAGACTTTCGGATACCCTGGATTTCGTCGGATTCTGCCAGAATCCTACCTAAAGTAAACTAAATCCTGAAAGAATCGTGGTAGGATTTCTCTAAGGTCCTATCAAGAAATGTACAGGTTCTTACTATGGCATACTCAAAACCAGTTTGATGATAGCTCATGTTTTATCATCAAATTTCTGCAAGTCAGCAGACTACCTAGGTCAATGGAAACGGTATCAATAACGGTTCGTTAATAGCAGGTTAATGTTCTGTAAACGTCATGTTGACGCACCGTTTTTACACCGTGCATACCACTTTTACGCTGCTTTCACACTGTATAACCTAGGTCATCTTATGGACTACTTTTTGATCGTTTTACAGTGTAAAAACGGACCGTTTATGGAGTTATTTACCGGCCTGTTTTTGTCCCACTGTTTACTGCCAGTTATTGAAAAATACCTGTGCTATAGTCATTTGAGGATATAAAACTTAAAGGTATGTTTCGAAGGATGAACAGCGCATGAGTAATGATACAAAAAAATAACGAGTAATCGATTGATAATTCACGCATCAGTGCCTTTTCTACAGCTATGAGCCAATCTTTCTTGCTGATCACGTATTCTTTTCTATCAGAAAGTGATATATAATAAAGATAAGTCATTATAATGAATTTGAATAAGTTTGTATTCAAGCTGTAATTTGTCACACTCGTAAGTTAGTTAACTGTACAACTTGTCATCTCATTTGAGGTGATAATATGATAGTATTAACACCAAAAGTAAAAGGAAGACCGGGGTCGCAGAATCTATTTGTTTGCTCTGACGACTGCCAAGGGAAAAAAATTTTATTCGAATTTTTTGTAAAAGTAGACTTGTGTTGGCCTGTAACGGCTATCTTCTTTTTTATTTTCTTTCAAAAAACAACTAACTTACTCTCTTCAATAACAGGAACAATGTGCATAACGGAAAGGAATGAAAACAGAAGGTAAGGTACAGTACTCCACAAAAGTGGCGACGCCCTTGTAGAGTCTTATAACGATCGCCGAAAAACCTTTGGGGGGGGTTTCCAGAAACCCCTTAAGTTTACCAAAAATGTTTTTAAATTACATAATTGGAAATGGTTTACCATAAAAATCTAATTTGGGGTTGTCGAATTTATGGTTTAGGAAAACTGAGAAACTATCAGTGATAAATCTTTTTGTTCAGAATTTCATGCTCTTTCCAACTAAAAACCCTCAAAGGTTTTCCGACGACCGTTATAAGACTTTAAACTTTTGAGATCGGATTCGGATAGGCCACACTTGAATGTGTATGAAAAAGTGCATCTCGTTTCATACTTAAGCCATACGCTCGAGAACAGTATAAATCCTAAGATCCTCAGAAGACCATCGGCGTCGGGATGAAGGTCCGAGGTAAAAACGATCTGACCGCATCATCAGATAGACCGTGCAATGGACACATAGAATGAAAAAATTCCTCTTCAATCATTTGTCTCGGCGGAGAAACAAAATCTTTATTTTTGCTCTCCATTTTTTAGACGTTGAATTTTCCATCCAGCGGACTCTAGAAAACCGTCCAGAACTCAGAAAGTAAAAGTCCTAGAAGGCTCAAAATTTGAATGTATAGCTTTTCATACATGCTGAACAAGATAGGGTTAGTTAGAAGCAGATCTGAGACATCGATTGAGCATAGTTTTATGGAAATCTGTCGTTTTTCTCGTGCAATAGGTCCTAAGAGAGATTAAAATCTTTTATTTTTACGAAAATATAGTCACGATTCTACTCTATCTACGATGTGAGTTTCGTGAGTTGGCTGTTAGTAGTCAGTGAAGCACCGCTATTTCACGAGCGATAATCGCTTGTTTTTAGTCGAAAATACGAGGTCCTTTGCGAAAAAAATTCACACCTCTGTCTAGGAGCATCATTTTGACTTCAAATTCGCACCAAGGACACTGCAGTGTCTGTAGACTATCTAGTCAAAGTATGAAGGTTAACTATCATGTGGTTCAGGAAATTATAGAATCTGCATTCAATGTACATAATCATGAAAATCTATGGTTCGGAAAAACGTATGTGAAACTTTTGTTAGAGAGATTACACACTCACCGTTAACCCAGAGAGAAAATTTTCAATGGAAACTTTTGTTCGAGAATCGAATGTTATATAATACTCTTGCCGATATCAAAAACAATGTGGATAATGGAAAGGAATGAAAACAGAAGATAAGGTACGAAAGAGAAAAAAAAGAAATGGCATGTGTTAGGTTAACTCACGTAACGGTCTGTACAGTTCGGAGAAGGTTCATTGAGATGTTCTTCCTCTTGCTCACTATGCTTTGTATAGTGTTTTATATATTGATTATAGCTTTGTTTTCTCTATAAAGGCAACATTCGCTCTTTGATTTATTGTTGCTATATATTTCAAAAAGCAATTACTGTCTCGTTTTTTACATAGCGTTCGAACAAAAAAAGACTAAAACTCACGGTTTTCCCCAGATTGTAGCTGAGACCTGTGAAAATAATCCTATTGGAAAATAAAGTCAAACACAGCACCACCCATTGGAACTTTTGGAAATTAATGCGAACTGATTTAATATGAGACTTTTTTAAATTAGTTCGCATTAATTTCCAAAAGTTCCAATGGGCAGCAGGCAGAGTATCTTACGAATCCTTTTTGATTTGATTTCGATTCCGATTTCAAAAATCCTCATCACACGTTCAATTCAATCATGCCATTACGACCAATGCGTCCTATGTCAATACTCCATCAATATTTTTATTTTTTTTGACCCCATATCTGCTGCATATTCTGAATTTGAGAAAAAAATGCTCAAAATTCAACAGAAAGTACTCTGGTTTTTGAAAGGTTAAACAGCTCATAAATCATAATCGAAGACGAACAGGGTGAATTTCAGCTGGGCATTGGTTTAAGGTTTTCCAGAAACTTTTTGAAAAACCTCAAAGTCTCAGTGTTCGACTGGACCACTCTTTCGGCTTTATCAATAATACATGGTGCCTTTTAAGTCTTTTCCGAAAGTTTCCTTGAGTCGGCATGAAGTTTGGCCGAGATATAAGGATTTTAATGTTTGCTAGTAATAGGCGAAAAATCGGTTTTAGTAAAAAAGTTCTAGAAATCTTTGAATGTAAGGAAATGTTGTTTTCTAACTTTAACCACAAGGCTAGGTTCACTGGATAAAATAGGATGTATATTTAAATTATGAAGCAGTACGGATCGTTATAAATTCATAAACTCCTTCCTGGAATTTTTCTCTTCTTTCTGGAAATTTTTAAAGTCTATGTAATAAACTTTTGCTAATCTGAAAAAACAATGAGATATGCGAATATTAGAAGAAATAGTGCTATGAAAGAGAAGATCAATATTCTTGTCAACTCTTGTGTGAGAAGAAACTGTACTGCTAAATTTTCAACGGATGTTCTTCTAGAAATTCGAATGAGAATAACTTGAGTTTAGCCGTAAGTTAGTGCTTCAAACTATGTGTTTCTCCATTTGAAAGCGAGTAAGGCATTTGAAAAAAGCTTGTCAGTGTTGCTCCTACGAAGAAAAAGTGTGAAAACTTCCAAATCCCATAAGGATTTTTTTGATGGAAAAAGTACGATATATCGTGGCGTGACACCAATTGTGATAAAATACCGTATCGTGATACAACATATCAATCGATACATCGCTATGTGTGGTTTTGTCGCGTTATTTGTTGAGTTTATCGCTATTACATACAGTAGTGAACAATATCGGGGAACATGTTACATATGTACATACAGTGTTATCGCGATAAACTTAACACAACGCGAGATAAGACCACTCATTGCGATGAATCGGTTGACATGTTATATCACAATATGGTATCTTATCGCGATCGATGTCACGCCATGGTATATCGTACTTTTTCCATCTAAAAAGTCATCATGGGATAACCTAATCAACCATAACATTGCTTAGGATGCAATAGCTATGAGAGACACGGGTAGGACCTTGTTCATTTCATAGTGTGAATTAGAACACAAAACCTATCTAGCAGATACATTAACACCCATTAAACAGAAATACTCTGTTTACACCGGTGATTATCCACAAAAAATTGTTTCTAGTAGTCTTATAGTAGTCTTTTTTGATGGTTTATATATATTATGATAGATAGTTAGAGATAAGTTAATTTTCAAGTAAACAAATAGTTACTTGTTTCTTTTATCCAAGGTTTGGGAGAAAAGACAAAGCAAAAGGGCATATTTCAAACAATCATGGTAATAACCTGTTCAAATCAGAAATTTCTGATAACAATTTGTTAAATCTTTTTCAAGTCCAACAACTGCTGAGAAAAAGTACTGTTCAACACAATGAAGAAGAAGATCGAAATAGTTGCCTCCGAGTAAGAGAAAATATCCCACCAATGTTACCGGCACCACCAACAGCAACATCAGTAGTTTGTAAGGCATAACTGCCATAGCACCAGTTTCAGGTGTAACATTACAAGATCAGTTATCAGCAATGCAAGCACAACTTGTTATTAAGTGAACAAATTGAACAAGCTACCTCAGAAAGAGCGATGATCGAGAAATGTCAACATCGAGACGTCACATCATTAAGTGCAGAGTATGGTGTTATAACTGTCGGCGCCAGAAGTCAAGACACACGGATGTTTTTTGAATAGCTTTCGATAGGAATGAGATAGAGACCGGCGGCTTTCCCCATCATGTTTCTAGGATCATAAGACATGTTTTGGTAAGAAAAAACTTGTTTCAAAATTTTCTGGAAGTCCTATTCTCTAGAGGATCTTTGGAAAACCAGCTGTGTTCTCAGAAAACTAACATACAATGGTAGTATTATTTTTGCATGCAAAAGTACTCCGGACGTTACACTAAAATATTATTCAAGTCATAGCTTTGCAGCTATCGTCGTTCGGACAGGGCTCGCTTGCTCTTTCAGGAAACGCTCAGGACAGCACATAAATCATAATCGAAGACGAAAAAGGTGAATTTTAGCTGGGCATTGGTTTAAGGTTTTTCAGAAACCTTTTGAAAAACCTCAAAGTCTCAGTGTTCGACTGGACCACTCTTTCGGCTTTATCAATAATACATGGTGCCTTTTAAGTCTTTTCCGAAAGTTTCCTTGAGTCGGCATGAAGTTTGGTCGAGATATAAGGATTTTAATGTTTACTAGTAATAGGCGAAAAATTGGTTTTTAGCAAAATGCCTCCGACGAAGTTATTTTCATTTCTACACAAAAAAGATGTTGTCGCTATGCTCAGCGTAGTTGATTACCTATATTCCATGGCATTTCGATATTCACAGAGATGTCTGCTCGGAGACAGATATACGCTCGGGGCAAGCGAGCCCTATCTGAACGACGATAGCTGGAGAGCTGCGACTTGAATAATATTTTAGGGTAGCGCCCGGACTACCTTTGCATGCAGAAATAATACTAATATTGTGTGTTAATTTTCTGAGAACACAGCTGGTTTTCCAAAGATCCTCTAGAGAATAGGACTTCCAGAAAATTTTGAAACAAGTTTTTTCTTACCAAAACATGTCTTATGATCCTAGAAACATGATGGGAAAAGCCGCCGGTCTCTATCTCATTCCTATCGAAAGCTATTCAAAAAACATCCGTGTGTCTTGACTTCTGGCGCCGATAGTAGTTTAAAAGAATCGTTAATTTTATGCGACGAAATGCGTCCAACCTAAACATGAACTTTACTGAGCCGAAAGAACAATACAAAATATGAAAAGAACGGTATTTGAATGAGTCAGAGAATCCTAATACATACCAAATATGGACAACAAAAGATCAAATAATAACAACATTGTTTACACAACAATTACTACCTGACAGTGATCAGAATTATTTATATTTTTATCTATTAGTGATATTAAAAATCAGTGAGCAGTGTGTGAATTTTGAAAGGGCACATTTGTAATAAACAATGCTTGTTTTACAAAAAGAACGAACGGTATGAAGTATAGAGATTAGTTTCTCCTAGTTCATCTGTTTTAAATCGTCGATGTGAAGAAGAAGCAGTGAAAATAGTAGAACTGCTGTAGACATGTGTGAATAAGAGAAACAGTAGCTTTTTAAATTAAAGACTAAAGAAGCAGTGGTTTTAGCAACAATCCATCGTTCTCTTGCTTTTTTTCATCCAACAAAATATGTTATATCGTTTTCCGTTCTTGATATAAATGAAAACAGAATGCTGCATCTTTGCGTTCTGTTTATGGCATGAATTAATGCCATGAAGCAGTCAAGAGGTTAAGCAAGAGTGTGGAACAAAACGGTGATTAAGAATTCTCAAGATCTTGGTTCAAAGAACTAACGAAATTTCAAGATGTTCAAGACCTTGGATTCTTGAATTTCTTACATTTCCCATCTAGATCTTGAGTTAAGATCTTACTGAAAAAAATTCAGAAAGTCAAAATCTCAGTTACAAGAAGTTTTGTTAGGATAAAGCTAAAACTAATAAAGTGAACAGCAGGCTTCACAGTATTCTGTTATAGATATACCATGGGTGTTTTCTTTCGCCTCTGCCATGCCTTGCAAGGTAAATCATTTCGTATCTTCGTTATATTCACGTTAACAATTAGTACAGCTATCATCGAAATCGTTTTTGGTATTCGTTCTCATTCACAGTCGTTAATTGCCGATGGTCTTTATTCGTTTGCTGAAGGTATTTCATTAATCGGTGTTTTGTTAGCTCTACATCATGCACGCAAAGCTGGTAAAAGACAAAATAACACCTTTGGTTGGGCACGTCTTGAACTTCTAGTAGGTCTATTACAAGAAATATTCCTTTTATCACTCTCGTTGGGTATCATTGTCGATGCTGTTAATCATTTGGTCAATCCAACACATGTCAATGATCCTGTGATCTTAATCGCTCTCGGAATACTTGGATGTGTTGTGGGCATTTTGGGAATGCTCATGTTCAAAGGCTACCATCACAATCACGATATTGAAGATGAAATCAATGAACACAAAAAAATCGCCTTCGTCGCATCTGTTCACAGCAAGTTGCCACGAAAAAACCGAAATAGCTTTAAAGACAAACAAAAGCAGTTATTAACCGATCCGTCGTCCGATGTGGCTATTGAGAAACGTCTTCAGAACGATTTTGATGATGTAACAGCTAGTAGTCCATTATCGCCATCTGTCGTATCATACAGACGATCAATCCGAGATGCTAGTATGGTGCTGCCATCTTACTCATACGAAGAAATTAATGATGTAGAGAATTTTGAAGAATCGAGAGTCTATGCCACGCTGCATGCACTCTGTCTACATTCACAAGTAAGGATGATAACTGCGACGATAGGCGCATGTTTGAATTAAGTTTTATTTACTAAGGCTGTTCTATTTGAATCGCTGATTGTTGTTTGTTCTGGCGCAATGATCAAATATGTTCCACATCACGACAAGACGGGGAAAGAGATCAATGTTTGGCTCAAATATTTGGATCCTGCATTGACGCTGATCATGGTGATTGTGATTGCGATTCGAGCAGTGCCCGTGGTGTGGTCCATCGGTCATTTGCTGATTGAATGTGTGCCACAAGGAATTGACACGGACCAATTAATGCAACAAATACTCAAAGAGATACCGCAGATAAAAGCGTTACATAGTTTCCATGTATGGAGGTAAGATTACTCTTATTATTTTCAAAATATATTGCTGACTTTCTATTATTTCTTAGAGCAACATCCAAGGACATATTTGCCACAATTCATTTAGTATTTGATGAAGACGTCTTGCTGAGCAAATGTACGGAAATTTATGGTAATAAAATAAAGCAGATACTTAGTTCTCTGTGTATTCGTTTTTTCACCATCCAATTTGAGTACAGGCAAAATAATATTCATCGATGTGCGTACGGCATTCAAAAACGCTACGGGCATGACCTTATAGTATCAAACAAAGAACAAATACTTAAAGAACAAGAACACATCAATCCACCACCTGAAGAGAATATCTCTCAAACGGAATGAGAGTAAGCTGCATTTTCCGCATAAAGTAGTTAATTGCATCGATAATCGCAATTATCATTTCCTAATAACTTATTGAACAGTTTTTGATTTGAAAAGAATTAATGCATTTTGCACCGTAAACGTAAAATCTAAATATTGTTCTTGTTTTACGAATTTGTGCGAAAAGTATATCTTGAGCCCATACCAATAGGGGTGCACTGTTCCAATGGAATAAATTAAAAAGACGTTATTGAAACCAGATAATGATTTTGCCGCTTATTTTATTTTTATTTTTATTTTTTTATTTTTACATGTATTTTGTTAAACCTGCCCGCAAAAAGCAACATGTAATGAGTTTATTATACTTGATAGGAGTTTTGTCGATTGTTATTTTTGAAGTTCTTAAAGTCAATAGAAAATTTGAAAATTAAGAATATTTTGCGTGGATTAGGAGAAAAGGAAGTCACGACCGTTATATCTATCCACAATAATATTTTTCTTTCATCTAAACGATATGCCATTAACAATTGTTATACTTATCTAATTCAGAGTAATTCATAATGTCAGAGATGTTGGTCAATGACGTCAATAATGAGCTTGTTTGTTTCAGTTCAACACTAATGATTCAGCGTGAAACGTTTGATTGTACTTATTTGCATTGGGCCTACCATTAATGTAATATTCTCCGACTTACTCCATTGGATCTCATACATTCACTATATTTAGATTCACAGTCGCCGCAGTAACAATGGCAGTACTTGACGGTTGTGCTAACAGATTCTGTTCCGTTATCTGCAAACAAAAGAAATTACCATATCAGATTTCTGCTACTTGTTTTCGAGATTCACTTAATCTGAATTACTCATGCAATAGTTCTGATACTCTAATGCACATTAGTAGGTGTTAGAAAACTTTTTTAGAAAAAATGCGTTCGATTAGGCTAAGTTTACAAATATAATGCGCGACAACGTTTCTCTCAAGCAGGCACGGGTTAAGTAACTTTTCAAAATAATAATTCAGAGATGTCATAATTCAGAGTACCGGGAGTCCAAGGATTCAAATCGTACTACTGCACGTATCTAGATTTCAGTTAAAGTACATACAGAGTTCGTCAAGGTTAAGGATTCAGTTCGCTGCGTAATGTTTGAGTAGTATAAGGATTCTGATGATCCGAAGAATGTGAGGAATATGTAGAATCCAAGGATGTCGAGGAATGAAGATTGAGACTAGACATCCTAGTGTAGAGTAGGCAGACTACCGGAAGTCTCCGTAGGCCACACTTTGCCTGTTGTAGGTATGAAACGTACACAGATGATGTTAAGAGTGGGCTGCAGAACTTTCAGAAAGAAAACTCATGTGAACTACGTGGCGCTGAATTCCGACGTTCGATGAACATGAAATTCATAAGAATCTATTATTCCATTGACTCGAAGTCTATGATCATACGAAATACAGTGTTTGTGTGTGTCCGTACAGACGGATGTAAGCACATAGAGCGATGACTAACGAGGAAAGGTCCCCAACTGTCAACTCGCTTTTGAGCTCTAAACTAGTGGACAATAGGTAATCAAACATGCTGAATCCGACTATGACAAGCATTTGGGCTGCTAGGCCTCTAGAGACTGGTTTCTGAAAAACCAGTTTTCCAGAAACCTCAAAAGATCCCTAAAACTTTTTCTAAATAAGTCATGATTGTAGCCCACGAAATCAGGATCAAAATGAGATGTCTCCCAGCTCTACACGATCTTTCTTTGCAAAGTTATAGAATTTACAAGATAAGCCCTAAATGTTCATTGTCACCCCAGAGCTACAGAAAGAAAAGGAAAAAGGAATTTAGGGCTCATCCTGTAAATTCTATAACTTTGCAAAGAAAGATCGTGCAGAGCTGGGAGATGTCTCATTTTAATCCTAATTTCGCGGGCTACAATCATGACTTATTTATAAAAAGTTTTAGGGATCTTTTGAGGTTTCTGGAAAACTGGTTTTTCAGAAACCAGTCTCTAGAGGCCAAGCAGCCCAAATGCTTGTCATAGTCGGATTCAGCATGTTTGATTACCTATTGTCCACTAGCTTAGAGCTCAAAAGCGAGTTGACAGTTGGGGACCTTTCCTCGTAAGTGTAACGGACGTACGTACATATAATAGTGCCTAATGAGTGTGACGGATGTACATACATATGATCATGTGGCACTGTGAAGGACGCACATACATATAGTCATCTGGCAGTATAACGGACGTACATACGTATAGTGGCCAGCGGGTGTGACGGACGTACATATATATTTTTCATTTTTCGCCCGAAATCCTTAAAATTAGCAGACTACAGATAGAAAATCACGCCGAATCCAACGAAAACATTCTCAAGTTCTCCAGAGAGTTTTCAGGAGGTTTCTGTATTCGATCCGATTTTGCAGAGTTTTTACTGTTTTTTCTTGAGATGCTACAGTCAATATTTGTACTTGACTCGATTCGCCAGATGCTAAGCTATACAAATATAGCGGCAGATTTTTTAAATTCCTCTTGATTGCTGAGAAAAATCATTTTTTCTAAATCAGAGGTGAAAAAGTCGGAGTTTTGCCCATAATTCCCAATTTTCTCAATCAGAACTCAACTTTTGAGCATAACTTTCATCGATACCTTTCAGAAGCAACTTCGGTCGTTCGAAGCCATTCATGGTAAGTCGTTTCTTAAAAAGTTTCAAAGACCGGATTCTGAGCAGATCTTTGGAAAACCAGTTTGAATGTCTGAGAACTGAAATAGAAATAGGTCGATCTTTCTTCACAGATAGATAGTTCAAAGTATCCTCTCCAAAATGAAAGCTAAGCAAACTCTTAACTTTTTTCGGTTTAGGCATGGCATCGGATTTCCCGAGAGTCCCAGGATCAATATTTCTTTAGGTGTAGCAATACCGAAAACGAATGGGAACATAGGTAATCGACCACGCTAAATCTCGTGGCAACATTTGTTTGTCAAAACACTATCAAAAACATAGTGAACCTATACTAGGTGAGATAACCCATTGTTCTAGTTCAAGATTACAGACTTAAACCAACCCATTGTTGCCTATTTTTGAGTCAAACTAAAAAATTCATAATCCAGTCAAGATCCATCCAAACTACATCAGAATATCAAGATATACTCTATTTCACCTGCTCTATATGGCGCAGCTCAATAGAAACTATAAATGTCAATAAAAAATACTTTGGTGTTCTAAAAGATTTTCTAGAAATCTCCCGAAGTACAACAATCTTTTTTACTATTCTGGAGTATTTCTGAAGTTAAAACGCTCGATTGTCATATATGAAAAAAAAAGAACGACTGGTGCTGTTCAGAACGTGTGTATTTCGACATTTAACTGTATAAATAGGCGCATATCGATTAGATCACTCCAGGTATAAATCTTTTGGTCTTTGACGCATATTCAGTCCATTCGTTGCCAAATGTTTTCGTTAACTCTTCTTCCTCACGTGTGACACGCCCTTTGAGAAGCAGTATCGGTAGCATACAATATACTAATAATCCGACAGGACCGAACTGAATCTGTATCCATCTTATATTGGGAAAAAAATTTACCAAGCGTTGATGAACAAGAAACATTCCGATGATCAAGATAAAGACAAACGTGTACGATGGATGACGTACATAAGCATACGGGCCAGTCTTGATTAACTTATGAGAATTACGAATAGTAAGTTCAAAGGTAAACAACTTCCCAAGCGTCCTGAAACACCAGAATCTCCCCAAGCCGCCGACGATCATAAAAATATATCCAAGCACTACAATAGGTGTAAATGGTAGCGGGTTTACAGACGTTGGTATTTGCGGGAATAATGTTGGAATTGAAGCTGATGAAGAGGCTTGAAGGTATAGATATAACACTTGGTATAACGTGAAGATCCATATGACAAGTTTGGCAAATTTAGGTCCAAAGAACACTACAAGTGTCAAAACAACACTTTCATATGGGACGTAATCATCAGTAGAGCTGGGATTTGGGTTAGTGATACCAAGGTGGAAGAGCAGAGTTGTAAAAATAAGTAGAAAAATTTGTAGAAGTGGGAACATGTCGTAAGATATACTTTGCGTGTAGATGTAAAGTGAAAAGGACATTTTTTCCTTATCATACATCTGCATATCTTCGTTTGTTTCGTTCTTATATTTGAGAGAAACGGAAGAAATTTGACCCTGGCTTTTTTATCATCCTAATGTTTTCTTTTTGTTTTCTCTTGATACGCAGTAGGCGTTAGATGTTTTCTCCTATTGCACATAAAAAGAAGCTCACATATAAATGAGAGTAAAAGAGATATGGCTTGTTTGTTGCAGCTCTTTCCGTCGTAAATCGTTCAAATTTCAATTTTTTAAAATCATT